ATTTGCGATTAAAATTCTGTATCTCTTTAGTTACATGAAACATTATGAATTTCAAATGGGTACTTGTAAAGAGTAAATGATGTGAAAAGTTAATATTCTGATTGATGTCTATCATCATGAAGTTTACATTAGAATAGATCTATATTTATTATGAACAATAGTTCATAACTAACAAGTCTTAGAATATTTAATGAATCATTTCAAAGTGATTTCTTTTACAAGAAATAATCTGTTAAAGCTCTCCTATTATTAATATAGTTGGATTATGAGTAGTGAGACTGAGAAAGAAGTTTCATCCTGTATGAGACTTCCTCAAATGGATGTACCTACATTCGTGTTAATGTTTACACTCTCTATTAATTTCTAAATATATAATTAAACGATCATTTTTGAAGTATGATTTAAGGTAATAGATAGGACTCATCATAGTTGAGTTTTCATGTTTGCTAATAGTATTCTGAAAGCCTTTTTGTTGTTAAAAGCATCGTTGTTAGGAAAACCAACACTTCACTATCTATGTTATAGTTGACAACTGGCCTAGCTTCAGGCAAAATACAATAGTACAATAAAGAGAACTAAATGATATTGAATCAGACAAACAAATAATTAATATATTTGTGTACTCATTGGTAAGTGGAAGATAAAACTTCATTGATACTTATTAAATGATTCATTGATATCAATCACTTGAACACAGATATAATAGAATTTGTTACACAACGATATTTTTGTCAACCTGGATACCATTGGTAATAATACGTAGTGTATTCAGAACATTATGTGTGGATAGTTCTGGAATGTCTGGAACGGATGTTTTACATCTTAAATGCAAAATATCACTTTATAGTTCCTCTGAACAAATACCTAATTTAATCACGGAAAATAAAATAGTTGAGAGAGTTGACCAAAATAGTTATATTGATAGTAACATTAGTAATGATAGACGAGTTGATGAAATCATTGACAGTAATGCAAAACGACTCATTTTACTTCTAGGAAGTTATGCTATCTGTTGATTTTTATCTATCGGTCAACGAGAGAATATACTGTATTGTATAACTTCAGCAATGGTTACACATTTCGTTTCTGACAATAAGCTTATCGTCATGCTATTCCGTATATAAATAATGTCTATAATCTCCTTATATTTATTAATACAATCAGTAAGTTTATGGTTTCACTATTTAGTCTACTAGTCGACTCTATGGTTAATTTATTAATTAGACCAAGTCAGCCACTCCAGAATTTTACAAAATCAACTGAATGATCAAGTTCGTACTTTTTTTCAAAAAATTGAGCAATCAATTGTTGAACACAGGAATAAAAAAATTAATTTAACTTGGGTTCGCCTTTATGCCTATTGTTTTCTAATAAAATAGGCAAAGTAAATATGTCATAAGTGTCTATTCATTGATATGAAAAAGAAAAGTGATGAAGAGATAAACAAAAAATTAATTTCAAAATGATGGATTGGAAAAGGATTTTTAATAGAGTTGAGTAGTTTCTTCTTTATTAAATGAGATAATGATGCAAAAAAATTCCAAGTGTATGTAAACTGTTAATTCATTTGATTCTGTGCTCTTTTCAAACTAATAATTGAGCTTTGATTCCTAGTAAATATCATTGGTACTCACTAACTAAACTGTTGAAAAGAGCACCATTTTAAAATACAAATGTCTGAAGTTGAAAGTGTGAACCATTAGGTGCCAACTCTGAAATTTGAGGGATGTCATCTTACCGTGGGGATTGAATGTCATCGGTTTGATCCCTACTCAAGTAGACGTTCACTGTTGAGAAATTCAATACTAGGAAGAAACATCTTCCGTGTGCTTACCCGTTATTAGTGATTGCCTAACCGAAATCAGTTCATAATATCAACTACAAACTATCTCAGTCCCACAAACTCAAAGAGAGGTAAAATTGTGCTGTTATTTGAAGACATTAGGTTCTGAATTGAGGAACATCTTGGTTGTTGCAAATTTGAAACACGCACCCTATCGTTACCTTAGCAAATAATATAGACTTGTAAATTTAAACTTTTATTTCAGTATGTTTCTTAATGCAGCTAGCCCAATTAAATACTTTGTATCTAAAATATATTCAGATAGATTTAATAATGATCATGTCTTCACTAGCCTTGAAACAAATATCCTAAAAAGTAGTTTTTGTAGCAATAATCAAGTTGAGTATGAGACAGTAACTCACTAATGAAAGTAGATAAGGACACACCATAGTATGTAAACTGACTGATATTAGAAAATATAAACTTTCAAGTCTTAATTAAGTGGTTAATTGACATCGTGCTGGCTAAGAAAAAAAACATGAAGGCAGCGGCTTCGAACTCGTAAGGATTCATATGTGTACATATTATCGAGGAGTACCTAACGAAAGTAAAGTAACCCATTTCTCCCTAAGCTCTTATCGGTTCTCCAAAATCACCATTTTGTAGCTAAAATTATATTGTCTAAACTTTAGAATGTCAATATACACTAATCTCTTTCAACTTTAACACTTGAATATTCTCATAGATATGGACTTTTATTTAACCTTTACAAATTAACCAGTAAAACTGACTACCTTTCAGGATTTATATCGTTTTTAAGGTAAAATATGATTCATCCCTCTCTATCTCTTTTGTTTTATTAATTTGTTAAAAATATAGTCTAGAATGACTAGTCAATATCAATGTATATATGATGATATTTAGATGAAGAACAAATCTTAACAATGTCGTGAAAACAAAACAAAAATCTTTTCATGCTGAAACTCATCATGAAAAAGTAATAGAAGTCATGGACTAGATTAAGGAAGAGAAAAATATTGGAAAAGATGTGTAAATGTGTGAATATGTGTACTTTTTGTTTTTATATTTTCATCCGAGACAGACGTTGACATTAACATGTTTATCATACTACTTACAATTATGAATAATTAAGATGTTTTAATCTTCAATTATTCTACTTAAATAAGTAATTTACAAAAAAAGTGAAGATAATATCAAGTTATTTGCATGTTTTACAACATTAGTATTGTTAATTAAACTACTAAGAAATAAATGATCAGGAACTTACATGTTGGTCAGATAATTAAAAGGAAAAAAACTATAATAATACACAATTACTAAATATTGTAAATCAATTAAATCATAACTCTTAGCCAAAATAACAAGAACAAACTATACAATAAATTCACTTGATGTTGTTTACTTGTATTTTCCCATTCATATTTAGGACTGCAATTGATCAATCTCTTTTTGGCATGTGTGCATCCTGTACGGACTGCCTTGATATTGCCGGAATTCACAAGCTTTATGAACAAGAATCGATAGTGGCTAACAGTGGAATGCAGGATGCGCGTTTCGTCCTATTTGGGACTCGTCAGCTGGATGTGCCTGCATCTCAGAGTTGATGTTCACTCTAGGACTCGAACTCAGTACCATTCGCTTCAAACGCCACAGCGTTATCCACTCAGTAGCTAAGTGGATTGCATATAAAGCTTGTGACTTCATGCAATATCAAGGCAGTCCACACAGGATGCACATATGCCAACAAGAGATTGATGAACTGCAGTCCTAAATAACAATGGGAATATAGAAGTAGACAACACCAAGTGAATTTAAACTCCACCTCGTTGCACAAGTAGTGGCTATCAGGATTCAGTAGTTATGTGGATAACGCGATGGCTTTTGAAGCGAACGGTACTGGGTTCGAGTTCTAGAGTGAACATCAACTCTGAGATACATGTACATCCATCTAACGAGTCCCAAATAGGACGAAACGTGCGTCCTGGACTCCACTGCTTGCCACTATCCGTGTAAACTTTATGATAGTACAAATCAATTGTAAAATGAAATCATTCTAATTTATTTTGTTTTGTTAAACTGAAACAAACGAATACAACTGGTTCACTTTTTTTAGGAGGAAAAATTTGATTTGTTTATATGAATTAGTGAGAGTAATAAGCACTTCAATTTTTAATTATTTTCAATGACTTTTGTTTTGTATAATTGACAACTGGTCATGATTTTAAGTAAATTCTAATTTAAAGGTATGGTGATTAATTATAAGACAGCTAATATTATTCTGTCAAGTCGTTTTATTAGTCACCGAAATCAATGGATCAAAATGTATGAATGATTCGATACAGTAATAGAAATTCAACTGAGTTAGCACGTTATATTTATATTTCGAGTTTTCTACTAGACTAGGCAGATAGGCAGAGGTTAAGATGACTACTACTTTCCATGATACTTACATAAACAATGTCTATGCTGATTATATTAAATAGATTATATTTTTAATACTATACACTAAACAATGTTAATCAGCAGAATCACTTCCATGTTGAATCAACACTTTTCTACAATAGTCAATATAAAAATGGCTACACTGAGACGACTGATTTATGTGAAAAAACTTATATTTCAGTAGGTGACGTGTGTGGTTTTATTAGCTTAGTAATGAATGATCTTTCTTCTGTTTTTAAACAAAGTTATTTCTCTTTGAGATGAACTGCCAAGAAGTATCGACACTGTAATCTTTAATTAAACAACAATTTCATTTATAAGTGAAATGCATAATCTATCCTATTGTTACTAAATAACTTTCTGAATGTGTCCCACGGAACCTTAAAAATGCCCAAAATAAACAACCAATTAGCACTTTTCGGTGCATTCTGGACATAGACGCATTTATATTCTCTCATTATCTAATTCTTTACATCAGTAAGAGCTTTACAAATTTAGATATTTTCAAAAAGTTTCCACAACTCAGGGGTAGCCTATAAGTAACACAATAACCATTCGTTTTTGTACCTAAACAAACCTTAAAGTAAATCTTCAGTCGTATTATAACCACTTCATTTGTCTATATATTAAAGTCTTTAGAATGTTTGAAGTGATAATGTTCGCTAGCAAGTCAGTATAGTAAATGCTCAGTGTTAAATGTTGACAATACTGAGTATGTATTATTACGGTTATCACCAACAAACCTGATCCTTACTTATCTCTTTGATGCTCGTATTCAGATAGATTTTCATAATTATTATCACTTTCTCCGTTATCGAAATCCGTTGTCAGCGTTGTCTCTTTTAAAGGAACAATCGCCTGTTGAGCTTTAGTTGAATTATCTTGAATTTTATTACCTTGACGAAATTTCGATGATACACTGGGCGATGACAGTTTTAATGCTTCAAAATTTAAATTTGGTGTTTTGGTATTATTCAGTTGGGTATGTTGTAATGATGTCTGTGGTAGATTTCTTTGATTAATATGGTACGAAATAACTGGACGTAATATTTTTACATTATTAACATCTTTTTGCATGAATAATAAATCTTTTACACTGGAATGAGTGATGGATGAATGATTAACTTTCTCATCATATTTTTTTAGAATATTTATTTTCGATGGAATCTCATTTGTTGACTGATCAATTGATCTACGTTCTCTTGATAATAATGAAGATGATGGTGAACAGGAGCTTAATGGAGAAGATAAAGATGACGATGACACTTTGAGTAACGATTGATTTGTTGAATAATGGTCAGAATTGCATATCGATGTATTTTCAAATTTTGAGGATTTTAATATTTCGCGTTTTTGAGTATACATTTGTAGGCCATGTATTTGATTCTCAAGGTTAGTTATCTAAAATTTGAAGTTAAAAACAATTAAACGAGTTTTGTAGAGATCAGCTCAATTTGTGGGTTGTATTCATTACAGATTCGTCTCAGTTGGGTTACCATTGTTTAAGGCTTCCCAGCTTTTATTGATGTCCCAACTGATATCAGTCTGTGATAAAAAAACATTTATAAAGAAACATAGTAAACTTGGATAGAAATAATTTATCATACGGCTGATTATTTGCTTTGTCGTTTCGTGAAGAGTTTTGTACATTGATTTATTCCTGGTTCTCCAGCGCAACTTCATGCAGAACAGACTGCTTAACGTTCCAGTAAATGTGGTATCGATCCAACTGCTGTGCAGAAATACAATATTACCGATTTTCAACTTGACTTCGACTAATGATATAGTGTGATCCTTATCCTTGTATCACTGTCGAATCATTATATTACTTTCATTGTAGTGAACGCTACTTACAAGATTGCTTGTAAGTAGTATGTGGCGGAACATGGTCTCAAAGTTGTCGCAGTCGTTGGAGAGAGTGAAGAGTCTTAGTATATTAAAAGTGTACAGTATGCAGAACATTTGACCAAACGAGAAGACAGTTTGGATTGCAGAACACACTGCAATATGCAAATGGATAATGAAAAGGCCATGTGTACAAATTATATAAACATTTTTTTTATTTCTATCAATAGACATCCAATCCTCTTACCAATTGTCTTGTTCTACTCCAAATTCACATATCAATTATTCCCTACAGAACTTTGTGAAATCAGTCACAAAAGTATTCGATAGTAAGTATTTATTTATTTACTTATTATTATTCTGGTTTTGTACAAAATCCCCACTTTAACATATACCTTATTTATTATAATAAACGGTACGAAAAACTGGTTGAAGTAAAAGATGTAAATTACTAAAATCTGAGTCCTTTTAGTTCAGAGAGCAATCCTTATGAATAGCTTGGTGATGATTTTAAACTGAAATTCCATCATGCGACTGACAAAATATCTCTTCATCAAAAATTAGTCCCCCATGACTGACTTAACACAAAAACTTTCAACTAGATAATTTGATTCAGTAAGTCATCACTTTTTCTAAAATTCATACTTGTGTTATAACAAAACCCACTCATCAGGTTAGTATGGATCAATCCAGGGAACTGTGAAGATGTCTAGCGTTTCCATAAGCTAAAGAAAGTTAGGAAACCATCCAACTTTAATTAACTTAGTTGTTAGTTGAAGTTGGTGATAAAATACATAGACTAAGTGCAAGTTTATGTACTTGGCTTTGACTGATACTTTTTAATGTGAAGGTTGAAGATAACACCCGGATATTCAAGCACTAGTAAGTAGAGCGAAATTCTGGATGAAGATACACCAGCCTAAACCTGAGTGTTTTAATTACTAGACCACTGTAGATAAATACATTGTTTGTTTGAATTCCAATCGGGATAACTATTTCTATATATATATCGAAACATGAGATAATGAACTTGTAAAGTTATGTTAGATATACAGCCCTGATTAACACATTTCAAAGCCATTCAGGACGTAGTAAAAAGATCTTTCAATTCTTGCCACTTCAATATAGATTATCACAGGGGCTAAATCTATGTTAAATAATTAATTCATCAATGTGGTTAATCAGCTTAGCTATTCAATTAACTACTTTGATTAGAATAGTTGTAAGAAAAGAAGTAGAGCATTTGTGAAGTTTTAAACTCATTATTTGTTTGATAAGATCCAGTTTTATTTCATGTAGATGATTAGATAACCATACAGAATAGTACGAAGCCTAAAAATACAATTTTACACAGAACAGCACAAAATACTAAATTCTGGATTTCTGGTAAATTTGGTGAAGATTCAAGTGATAAAACTGAATCATAGATGTTCCGTTTGATTTTTCAACCTTATTTAATTTATTATGTAGTGAAAGTCATCTTTCAACATTTTCAAGACATCTCAGTACAACTAACAGAGTTATTACGTGATTCTATAGTCATCTGGTTAAGTGGTCAATAAACTATCATGGGCATGTTACATGCATTGGAAATAGGTTTTTATTAGTAACTTTGTTAGACCACATGTGTTGAACAGGGAAATATACAGAATAGTGTTGAACCTGACGAAACGGTATATCATATCAGGAGATATTCAGCAATTTCATTCTAGCTATATTCAAATGTATCATGATAGTACAATGAGTATGTGTCACTAGGCATTATTTAATTGAGATTGAGTTCATTTAAACAACAAACCAAGCTATTAATAATAAAATTAAACCTACTATAGATAAGAAAAGTACTAAATAAATTTGGAGCCTTCAACGTACGTACCCTAAGTCAAATCGGTCAACAAGCCTCCTTAGCTAAAACCCTAGAATCTCGTACCATTGATGTATGCTGTGTCTCCGAAACACGCAGACAGGATCCCAGTGTGGTCATTCACTTGACCTCACCTCGCCAAAATGGACAACCAATGAAATACACTCTCCGTGTATCTGGCGTCCCGTTGGCTAGTTCTCGTGGACTTGCAGGTGTAGGCGTAGCACTAAGTACAAGGGCAGAACAGGCACTACTAGAATGGATCCCCGTTAACAGCCACCTGTGTGCTATCCGGCTAAATGGATCCGTAAGAACTCGGAAGGATAGGGACACACGTTGTTGCCTTTTGGTCGTTTCTGCTTACGCTCCCACTGACTGCAGCCATGATGAAGTAAAAGATGACTTTTACAGAAAGCTCTCTGAGCTTCTTCAGAAAGCTAGGCGCTCAGACATAGTAGTCGTAGCGGGTGACTTTAATGCCCAGGTAGGCAGCTTAAATCAAACAGAAAGACATTTAGGTGGGTGTTTTAGTATTCCGGCTCAACGAACCGATAATGGGGATCGTCTGTTGCAACTATGCTCAGACAATCGTTTATTTTTAGCAAGCACTAATTTTAAACATAAGGAGAGACATCGTCTAACATGGCGACCACCTGCACCAAACCAACGATGGACTCAAATAGACCATATTGTCATCAGTCATCGTTGGAGAGGCTCAATAGAAGATTGTCGCTCGTATTGGAATACTTGCCTAGACTCTGATCACGCTTTAATACGAGCGCGCATTTGTCTGCGCCTCAATGGACGCAGGAAAAGTACACTAAGAAGACCCATTAGGATTGAACTGGAGGACGAGAAAGCCAAATGCGAATTCCAGAAACAACTGAGTTCACATCTAGGCAGTTCTGTAAACAAGACTGACCCAGATGCTGCTTGGAAAGATATAGGAACAGCTGTGGAAACAGCAATAGCATCTATTAGTTATTTAAACCATAGGGCTCCAAAAAACCAGTGGATTTCTTCTAAATCCATTTCACTGATGGATTCGCGTAAACTCATCCCATCAGGCTCTGAACACGACGAAGAGCATAAAGAAATTAGATCTAGGTTAACTAAAAGTCTACGGAACGATCGTGAGCAGTGGTGGGCAACGAAAGCAAAAGAGATGGAAAAGGCAGAGGCTGTAGGCAACACCAGACAACTCTTCTGACTAATAAAATAAACTGAAAGTAAGAAGTCAAGTGTCAGTGAAACGATCTCGGAAAAAGGCGACACTCTTATCTACTCTCAACTCAAACATTTAGAACGATGGGCAGAACACTTTAAGGAGCAGTTTAGCTGGCCTTCAGCTACTGCACAACTATGCACCATTCCCAGATAGCCTGAATGGAACATTGAAGTAGGCCCCCCGACTCTACTTGAAGTTCAAAATGCTATAAGTAATCTGAAACGAGGAAGAACAGCTGGTCCAGATGGATTGACTCCAGAGGTCTTTAAATATGGTGGTCCAATTTTAGCGATTAGGTTGACTAATATTCTGGCTAAAATCTGGGAGACGGACGTAATCCCATCCGACTGGTCACAATCTCTGATTGTCCCAATGTATAAGAAGGGGTCAAAATCATCCTGTGATAACCATAGAGGGATTAGTCTGACTAACATAGTATCTAAAATACTAGCCTCAATAATTATCGGGCGCCTAACTAAGACTCGTGAACTGCAAACACGAGAAAATCAGGCTGGCTTCAGACCTGGTCGTGGCTGTATCGACCACATATTCGCCATTCGTCAAGTTTTAGAGCACAGACATGCTTATCGGCGTCCGACAGTGATAGTTTTTCTTGACTTGAAAGCAGCATATGACTCTGTAGACCGAGAGGTTCTGTGGCAGTGTCTGTCATTGAAAGGTGTACCTGAGAAGTACATAAACCTTGTGAAGGCTCTTTACTCGAACACTATCAGTCGAGTGAGAGCTTATGGTGAACTGTCATCTGATTTTACAACCTCAAGTGGTGTCCGACGAGGCTGTCCACTATCCCCATTTTTGTTTAACTTCATTAGAGACCTGTTGCTGGAAATAACACTGAATTTTCAGGAATTGATCTTCTGCCAGGAGGTTCACTTATCGACTTAGAATACGCAGATGACATAGTCCTGTTTGGTGAAGACGCTGACAGAATGCAGAGTCTTCTGTTATAACTAAGTTATAATGCCAGGATGTTTGGGATGCATTTCTCCCCATCCAAATGTAAATTGTTACTCCAGGACTGGCCTGCGTCAACACCCGAACTAAGGATAGGGAGTGAAGTAGTCGAACGCGTCGACAACTTCACTTTTCTTGGAAGTCTGATCAGTCCTAATGGGTTGGTGTCTGACAAAATCTCAGAACGGATTCAAAAAGCTCGTTTGACTTTTTCCACCTTACGTCACCTATAGCGAAGACGAGATATCCGTCTATCAATTAAGGGACGAGTATACTGTGCAGTAGTTCGCTCTGTTCTACTTTACGGCTGCGAAACATGGCCATTAAGAGTAGAAGATACTCATAGGTTACTAGTATTTAACCACAAATGCCTTAGAAATATTGCTCGCATCTACTGAGATAACCGGGTAAGTAATAGTGAGGTTAGGCACAGGGTATTAGGGAATGATAGTAAATCAATTGATGAGATTGTAAATCTTCATCAACTGAGATGGTTGGGTCATGTGTTACGTATGCCTGAACACCGATTACCACGACGCGCAATGCTGACTAGTATTGGGGATGGTTGGAAGAGAGTTAGGGGCGGCCAAACCAAAACATGTCATCAGTGTTTGAAGTCACTAACTTCTAGTCTGAGCCATGTTGTTAGATGCAGACTACCTGGTTGGGGTCCGCGTGACTATCGTAACCAATGATTGGAGACTCTAGGTGACATGGCTCAGAATCGGTCACAATGGCGTAGGTGTATACACTCTTTATCTTTCCCTTAAACCTTGAGGTTAAAATTGCTTCATATCTCTCTTCCTTCCTACTATATCCTTATATACAACCTATAATTTATATACTACTACCACCACTAAATTAATTACTTCTATGAATCCGGTGTTGATCTTGTTGTGCTAACGAGGTATGGCAACTTGGACCAATGCATATATGTGCCTGGTCCTACGTTGTAGCTGACTGACTGACTGAAATTATTTTTAATGATTTATACTTTCCGGTTGTTGATATAAAGGACTTTAATTAATTAGTCTTTGTTGGTATATGTTCATCCTGATCAGATTGACTCAATACAGCCGTTTATTTGTCAGCATAAACACACTCAATACTTTGTTGGACAAAATAAATATCATAATCTTCAAACAAGTTTGTCCATTCTTGACAAATTATTTATCCTTGTATTATCCGTTATCTTCGTATTAAGGTAGCATGAATCATGTATACAATTATGTAGAAAGTAAATGGAATAATGAACTATCAACTTCACATAAATGAATTAACATACTTTAGCAATTAATAATTAACAATCTACTAAGTCTATAATGATTACAAACAGTTAGTCACTTATGATTAATAAATTAATGACCATTGCAATATGATGGAATATGAAATCACTGAATTATTATTTATTCACTTACAGTTTCTTGGTTACGTTTAGCAGCTAATTTGTAGGCTTTACGAGATGCTCTATTTTTTTTATTTTCATCTGCGCATTTCATATTAGCCAGCATTATATTTTTAACGGCATTCAATTCAACTTCAAGCCATGAGATAGCTTGTTGTATATCTTTAAAATTATAAGGATTACAAATTTCTTCCTTAGGGTTAATGATAGGAATGATCTTATTCGATTGGCTTGACAATGGTTGTGTAGTATATGTTAAGACTGCTGATACTGATGACGATGGTGATGATGGGAACTGGGCACTTGTGGCTGTTTCTACTGTTGTTTTTGTGGTCGTTGTTTCAATTGTCTGACGCAGGAAGATTCCAGAATCACATAAAGATGGACTAGAGGCAGATGTACGTATGTCGCAATCGGATTTCACCAAATTACTTGTCAAGTGTGACTTAAATGCTAAAGGAATTGATTTGTTTAATTTTTGCATGATGGAACTTTCTTTTGTCAACTTTTTGGTTGGTGCTATTGAATTTGTGGTATCATTATGATTATCTTTTATAAAATGAATGGAATTGTTTGGATCTTCTAGAATCTACAAATAAAATTATAGGGACAACTATTATACATACATAACTAGTTGGCAGATTATAATGATTAAAGATTTTTAAATGGGTCTCAAAGTGTTTGAGTAACTTTGGCAGAATTAAGAAAACCTGCTTACAGTATACGGTAAGCAGAAGATTAAAAGCAATAATGTTGAGATTCACATTACACACTATAAGCCGCATCTACTGTGTTAAAACCAACGTACACAAGTAAAAAATTCTTCCAATTTTTTCATATTTAAATATAGGTTAAAATCCAAGTCGCGTCATAACCCAAGACAACATATGACATGTATTGATAGCTACATCTCAACAGTTATATTCTCAGGAAATTATATTGTTAATTACAGTGTTTAACTTTTCAGTAACAAGAAATTTTCCATCAATAACTGATATCAGTCAAGGAACCAATGTAAACTAGGGACAATTAAACGGTTATTCTTTCCTAACTTGTAATTACTCATCAGTACGAATGTATGACCATTTACAGGATCGAATCACGCCGTTCAGTTTTCGAGAAGAGAGTAATTTATTCAGACCGCCAATTTAGAATCCGATAACCTTTTTCCCAATACAGTATATTTAGGATATAGAGTGATTCATATCAAGCATCAATTCTTATTCCAACAACGCTGGTACGATTATTACTAGGACCAAATAGTCACGGGTAAAGAGATTTTAGTTTATGTACCAAAAATTTAGGTAACTTTATCAGAATCTCATTGAAAAGTAGTGTTTACATTGAACATACTAATAATGTCTGCTAACATATTACCCATTTACATCAGGAATACTTATTTATTAGTCTATTAGTATGATACGATTGAGACACTATAAATCTATGAATACTTTCCAAATGTGCTACTTTTTGTTATCAATATTCACCAAAGAAATGGCATATCATCTGACTGACGACAGCAATACCAGTCAATATCCATTACTTTGAACACTGTAATATTGGAATGGATTTCTGGTGACTGAATCAAATAATAATGTTAACCTATCTTAACAAATGTCTTATTGTTTATCTAGCGGTTGGTATGACCTAAATGTAATTGATATCGATAAGGTTAGTCAATACTTATAACAGTTAGTTGTCTCCTTTCTATATTCATTTAACAATGATAAAAATCATCATTGTAAATAACTTTATGGAAGTAAAATCATTTATGTTGCTTAATTTTAGTTCTTCTTACTTGACTTGAATTATCTTCGTCACAATGCATAGATTGTCCATGATGTTGATTGCATACATCTTCTATAAACAATGATGAATGACTAGTTTTTAAGAGACAATTAACGGATGATGAAAGTTTTATACTAGCTCTACGCATTATTCTCGGTGATAACATGAAACTTGTTTCTTGTAGTCGACTTCCACGCATAGGAATAAAATTTATTGATTTAGCATGACGACCTAAGAAAAATGTTAAAAATCAGTGAGTAGAAACGAATAGAAATAATTGGAAATATAATTGGTGGAAGCAAATTATAAAGAGATACGAAGAGAAGAACTAATATTTTCTTTAGATTATCATATAATATTATCATGATTAACAGTAAGATCAAACAACTATCTTCAAATAATTCAATAAATTGTAGTGATTGAGTTCATGAGTCGATCAATGTTAGATCACCAGTGAAAACATGGAAGCACTGGACAGTTGTTTCGTCCTGGTGTAGAACTATTGAGCAGTGCACATCCATGATCCCACACGCGTATTGTATTTATTATGAGTGAATAATCATTTATAGTAGCTACAAGTACTCATCCACTTTTACAAGTGACTGACGAAATATTATCATTGTCAATATTGCAAAATTCAGGCCGAATCACCACGTTAGTCAATTCATCATACTTCTCGTCTGTCGTTCGGGGAAACTAGAAGTGTTTGTATTAGGATTTATGCATTAAATAGAATTTGTACTGAAAAAAATACTATCGAAGTGAAACTGATCATAGACATTTGGAGGTGAAGAGAAATGGTGGCCAGGTACTGAAATGAAACATTTATTAAAAAAGTGATTTGTTGTCAAGCAGAAATAGTATTATTGCTGAAACTCAGTTGGAGATTTTCTTTTATCACAGTCTTCAAAGATCAATGTGTGTGATTATTTGCAAGCTTTAGTTTTAAAATATATCTGTAACACATTATGTAAATGAGATATTTGTTGAATAGATCCAGAATATTCCCCAACAAAAGCCTAGATAGGCCCTGAAAACGCTGGAAAACATGTTATGCAATCAGCATTCAATAGAAGTTTCTGAAAAACACCTAGAAAACGAAGAGTCACGTGTCACATCTCTGATTGGATGATTACCTATCCTGTTACTATATTCGGAAGGGTTCCAGAACCTTCCAGGGGCCCAAGGTCATCTGAAATGTTATAAATGCTCTTGATTTTTTGTACACAAGCCAACCTTATTGTAAAGTTTTCTTTCCACATTGCGCGCCTTTTCTCTCGTGTTCAAGTTGTCACGTAAATTTATTCTGGGGTTATTAGAAGAGCTTAGGAAACCGATCCAAGAGTTCAGTCGGAAGATTTATCAATATTACAACTAAAACTTGTTGAAAGTAACTAAGAATTTCGTTTTTTAATAAAAGGCTTCTATAATCAAAGTTAGAAATGCAATTTAACTTTGTGCTTTTCTAATGCGTTAAGTGTTCAATAAACAAAATAAGAAACTTAAATGATCCTTGTATTATGTTTTAAAAAGGAAACACAAGACTCAGTATATTAATAATAATCATGAGGCAGTAACTATTTTCTTTTGAATAGTTATATTTGTCAACATAACCTTATGAGAAGTATATAAAATCACAAGTAATTTTAGAGGTTTTATAAATTCCACTTACTGGTTAGAATATTGAACAAAGTTTTAATTTCAGTCTAATTATTAGTTTAATATTTACTTGGAAAGATTTATGAAAATCTATCATATTTTAAAGGAAATAAAGGACTAATCTATAGACAAAATTGAATATGAATTATACTGCATCATAAACCGACTGGAGCTAAAAATTATGAACATTTGGAGTTTCGCTAGATGCTCAATTTGTGTTGAGACTCCCTCGAAGCTTGCAATTTCCAGGTTGCATCCTATAGGTGCTAGAGTGCGGACAGTCTTGAAGGGTTACAAACACGGATTGACTTAGTATCCAATGATCTCTCAATTCCCAAAAACCTCTAAATGAAACCATTTCAGGTTGAAAATTATCTGTGAACAATTTGATAAGTCATCTAAGACATCCCCATTCACCATTAATCATGAAGACTGATGATAAATTTCTAAGGATTAATTTGCCTGATTTCATTTATTATCCTGTCATTTTACAATCGTCTAAACGAATGATGTTTCCAAGTTCAATAAAATCTGGGATTTCCGAGAATCTCAAAAAAATTTACAATCTATTAACAAACTATAGTGAATGCATAAGTGAATTTAATATTTGTGGTAACGTTTATTGTAGTAGGAAAAAGGGAAAATCCTTTCCGTTTAAGGATCTTCAATTAGTTGAACAGTTAAATGTTTTATATTGATCTCTGATGATTTAGAAATTATATAAATTCCGTTAATGTTCTAAGGTCCTATTTTAAACTGTCTAATGTAAAATAATTTGATTGAATAAGTTTATAATTGTACCAGAAAGATATACCTTATAAATGAATGTTATAGAAACGTCCGTTAATTGATGTGTTCTATTCTTTCATTCAAACTGAAGTTCATGTCATGACAATACTGTTGTTACTTAGGCGGAAAGATTCTAGTTACTGAAAATGGACTAAAATCCATGAAAACCTTTTGGCAGACGAATGGTTTCCTATATTACTTAATCATTGTTTTATATTCAGTTCATAATCAAGATATATGACTAACATATATAGTAAACTATTTGTTTATGAAAATACAAGGAGGAAATTACCAAAACAGACACCGTAGTATTAGTTAGTTACTTTATGTGACCGTTGAATTTGAATGTTCCAAGTAAGATCCTATATAGAGTCATGGGTTCACTGTTCTCAAACGTTGACATCAGAACGGATTAATTTTATATTCTATCTTGGTTTCCAACGGCTTTTTAGCTGATATAAGTTCATAATCATACTTACTTTGTAATTATCTCATTTCTCTGTCAGTAAAGTGTTCATTTTGATTATAATCATAATTCACCAACAAGCATATTTTTATATAATGGACCGTTTTCGTCAGATTAAGTTTGGCATCATTCATTTTATGAATAACAATAGTTATTTGTGTAGATAATATGAAGGGCAGTCATATGATCGGAATGTCTTACGTACTGTTATTCACTTAATGATATCCCTTCATGAAAAAATGAACCATTCTCTCTCCATATCTTACATTTTCATAAATTGACCAATATAAACAATCAATTTTGTCGATCATGTGTTATATAATGAATAAATAAAATGATTTACTTCACTCCCATTGTGTTTTGTACTTTTCAATATATGAATACACTCGAATAAATAAAAACGCCATCAACGTTGGGCGCATTCATTAATGATTATGATAACAAGATAGATATCTCAGATGAAACGTGAATTAATTTAAATAATGCTAAATGCTTTTTGAAGTTACTTTCACTAAACCGTGTCAAATGTTAGAAATTCAGTTTTCTACTAATGGGATATGACAAATTTATTATTATTATTATTATTTTAGTATTAACTATAGAATGGACTTGACGTTTGGTTAAATGGTATCTTGTGAGAGTAGTTCAGCATTGAATAAGATATTCGTCGCGGATTGATATCAGCTGGAAAAATGGAGGAAAACTAGGGTATATTGAACCATTGTCCATGATAAAAGCCATCCAAACAAATTCAACTAATGTCATCAAAAAAGCTTAATCGAACAATAATAATATATTTACTTGTAGTTGGCTTCTAGATAAATTCACAGAGGTTTTAGTCAGTAGTCAGTAGACAGTATAAAAACCGATGATAGGAAAGATTCATAAGGTAAGTATATTCCATCTAAAATGAATATGTCTGTATCTGTCTAAAATTTATTAATAATCACTATTGATGTCAGTTAACTTGAAACAATATGCATATACAGAGAGAGAGAGAGGGAAGTTGTCTCTGATGACAAGAAATTTATTAATTCTTCTATTTACCTTTATTTTCTAGCTGCAAACCTGAATCATTATTCGTGATCATTTCGTAAATCTGATCAGATAAATCATCTCCATGTACCTTTTTGAATGCTTCCAATGCTTCATAATAAGCGTGTGTATGCTGTAAATAATTTGCTGGTGGATATCCAGTTAACTCCTTCAGGTACATATACAAAAATATCAAAAAAAGAAACTCGGATCTAATACAATGTAAATAAACTTAAAAATGAAAAAAAATGAAAAATCTGATAAGCCTGTACATAATTTATCTGAACAATAAACAATACGCAACATGTGACTACTCAGCAGTGCGCACCCACAATCCCGCACGTGAGACTCTTATCCAGGACCTTAGGTCTCACATTCGAACGCTTAACCTGTAGACCACTGACCCAGCCGTCCACTGCTTCCAGGTTCTCAATGGTGGTCTAACATTGATCCATTCATGATATCAATCTAAACTCACCAATCTCCACAACTTTATATTGATAATGCAAAATATATTATAGCAAGTAAACATGTGTGCAAGAATGAAAAAACCAAATGGCTACTCAACCGTTGGTAATTAGTAAACAGCGAAATCAGTATCTACATTCCCCATCAAATTTTACGATACAGTTTCGAAACACCTACTTAGTTTGAAAAGTATTTTTCAATGTATTAGTCGGAAAACTGAACTTAATAAACAATATTATTAGTATACTAGCCTGAAAATGTCTAATCTAAACTTTGAAGTTAACACTTTCGAAATATGTCAATAGTTTGGAAATCAGTTACAGTAAACCGATGTTTCTATAAGAAATGAAGGATGGGCACTTTATACAGTTTTTAGCAGCTTGAGAAAAAACCATGAGACCTTTTCCCACTTATTCGTGTTTATTTCATGATAGAATTCTTCGATCTGTTAAACATTCAAATGTTTGATGTACTTTTATTTTAAAAGTGGCACTTACGTATTAATTATAATTATAAAACAGATGTGCCTAAGTATACCAATTGATTATAGATCTAAGTATAGGTTGTTGTTACGCGAAATAACTTGCTTGTTACAAATGAGTTCCAAATTCCTAGTGTTTATGTAGAGTGTGTTTGTTACATGTTAAGAGTGTAGTTGTTTAATAAATTAGTGGATTTCAATTTTGTACTAAATACTGAATGCAAGAAATGGATTTGGAGTAAGTATGTAGAAAAGTATTAGTATCATGTATTCTGTGGACGTGGTCCTGGTAGAATTGATATTTGAGCGGAATACCTCAGGTGGAAGCTATAAGTGCGTTACCAAGTTAGTCAATATTTTCTTACATGAAATGTTTGTGGTAAATTAAGTTGTAAAATTACAATAATGTCATATCACACTAATCATTATATAAAATCACTTTATTTTAGTATTGTTGACCTTCTAAAATAAAAGTCTGTAGGATTACAACGAGAGTGAAGTGAGCATCATTTAATTTCTTGTGCGGTGATACATAAGCCACTTTTTGAAAGGGCTGAAATGTAAACTGAGTTAATTGTAGATTTGAGAGCCTGCGAACGTGAACACAAAGCCCAAGGAACAAATGCTTAGGGCTTATCACATACGTCCTTTTTTGAGTAGGATTTTAAAAGCTAGCTTCCTACTTTTAAGGCCTTATCTCCGGGTTCAAAAATATATGGGGAAGGGCAAAGTGATCTGGTATTAAGGCTGATTCTTTCTATCTCCTTCATCGGTTGTGAAGAAGTAACACTTCTACAGGTTCATGTCATCTGAAGTAATAACCATACTGCCAGCACATCTGTAGACAGTTGTTAGTGTGACGTCAACCTTCTCCAACTTACCTGCCTGACGTGCTAGAACCTCGAGGAACGAGCGTTCTACCCAAAATAGCTTGATTAGGTTATTGTGACATACAAGCCCGTTCAGCACGCCAAGAGAGCAGCCACGGTTGGAAGAAAAGGACACTGTGCTGGCTGAGGTTTATCGAGAATTAAGAGGTAATTTAAATTTCAGCAAATCACGAGAAACAATTATCACAAAACTGTTATTCCATTTGAATATGAACTGTCAGAGCAATATGTTTCAAAATAAAATTGATCTTCCGTGACTATATTAGATCAATAATTAAATCATTAGAAATGGAATATTTACATTGTGTCCTGTGTCGATTAAATCGCAAACTATTACACAAGATAATTAGTCATTCATAAAAAAAACCTAAAGACCTGAAACGGATATGTACCGACTCAAGATACTAGATTTTGTACCAAGATAGTAAAAAGAGATGAATAAAATTCATTCAGTCTCACATTACCTAGCACAGCTTGGACCAAAATGATTATGCCTACTAGCATACCATATGTTTATATCTAAGTTTTTAGTATTTTTAAACTAAAGGAAATGGGAATGTTTATCTTAATTTAAAATAGCTCTTTCATTTCCGAAACAGAAATGTTCGCTTGTTAAATTCTATATCCCTTGTTCACTCGCATACAAATTTATCGGTTTAAACATTTCGTGTGAAAAATATTACACCTGAAATCTGTAACCTGTTTATTGATATTTTGTACATATATAATGTATACCCAAGTTAAATTATGATAAAGAAATAACATTTTCAAATTAATACTGTTTATTACTGATTTGGATGGTTAGATTCTATGAATGCTACAAATGGATTATCTCTAAGATCACGATTATTATTACTATTATTATTATTAAATTCATTTAGAATTGTTTGTTTGAATCTTCCCATTGATGTGTTAGGACTGCAACTGGTCAGTCTCTAATTGGCATATGTGCATCCTGTGCATAATGCCTCGATATAGCCTAAATTCACAAGCATGGTAAGCAAAGATGGATAGTGGCTAACAGTGAAATCCTGGACTCGCGTTTCGTCCTATTTGCGACTCGTCAGCTGGATGTACCTGCATCTCAGAGTTGATATTCACTCTGGGCAATACGCACAGTATGCACATAAGCCAATCAGAGACTGACCAGTTGCATTCCTAAAACATCAATGGAAAGATTCAAACAAACAATACTAAGTGAATTTAAACTTCACCCCATTGCACAAGCAAGTGGCTGTCAGGACTCAATGGCCGAGTGAATAACGCAATGGCATTTGAAGCGAAAGATACTGGGTTCGAGTCCGAGAGTGAACATCAACTCTGAGATGCAGGTACATCCAGCTGACGAGTCCCAAATAGGACGAAACGCGCATCTTGGATTCCACTGCTAGTCACTATCCATCTTTGCTTATTATTATTATTTATATATTCATCAAATGTTGTAAAGAAACGAGAAAATAAGTAAATCAAACTTGGAAAATGATTGATTACTAGTGGATTCTTGTATATATAATCCTAAATATATGTTCCATTTCCATATATATATTTTCATAATTGGGATGTATTTCATCATTCAAAAAATTATTATCAGTTAACTACAAATTCATTAATCAATTTTATACAGGAAATGTCATAGATGTTTACTTGTTGAGATTTATAGATCATTCTGCACTTGACTCTTATATTTCTCTTGGATAATTCTAGAAGTGTTTGTGGTCACTTATTTTATCCTTTAACCTATCTGACTAAAAATTGAAAAACTGTAAGATAATTCAGTGAAAACGGTTAAGTACAATAGGAGACATGATATAAAGTGATCGCAGAAAAAAACAATGAAAACACATTGATAATAACTTTTAACTAATGAAATGTCAAAGGTTTTTGTTTAGTAATTAAATATAGTGAATAATAATCACGGATGTATTTTAACTACTCTGAAGACGTAGCCTACATTGGGTCACGAAACGTCAGAAATACAATTTTTCTACTTATCGGGGTATAACAAAAATGTATTTATTATTAACTCTCTACTCAATGGTTAATTTATTTGAAACCGTCAGGTCTAATCTTGGTATGGATATCTATAGTGAATAATATTCTCGCAGACCGCATGCTAACTGCTTAAAGAAAACTTGCTTGTAATGAAATCTATCTTGAGGTTGATTAGTAAGGTGAATTGATGAGGAGCCTTGACTAGAGAAGTTTTTCATGAGTTGTCGTTAAAATGTATGGGTTTCTTTAGATCGTCTACATTTTCTATGATGAGTAAATTTTTTGTTGTTGTGTTATGTAAATCATCGCAGGCAACAAGTTGATTACTGTTAAAAAAACCGCAGCTACTTGAGGACAGTTAATTGGTTAAACAACTAGTCTGGTCACCACAGTGTTTAATATAGTTAAGTTTATTCCCTAAATATGTGTTTGTTACACACTGATAATAATGATGAAGTAGAGTAAAGCAAATATTCAGTAAGTGACTAACATAAGTTCTTAATTAGAACTACTTCTACACACAAACCACTTAGTTAATAGATAACATTTTACCAGATATGTACCTGATGATTTCCATTTTTTACTCAAAAATTAATTATCCCATTTATAAAATTCACCACATATGACTAGTATCTTAAACAGATGATTCATTAATCAATAGGGACGCTATTGATGAGTAAATTTATCAATGACTGTTGCACAAATAATAGGAATCCCACTAATATTAAAGTTCTTCTGGAAATCATGGAAATATCTAAACTCAAGAGAAGGGAAGTACGTTATATTAGCAAATCTTTTTCCCAATATCAATGTAGTAACATTAGAAAGCTAATTTTTCCGATTGATTTGGATTGTTGAGGTAGGTTTAGGAAAACAACTGATTCCACCTGGTGAACCTTCCGAGACTGGAATTCTTTAAAGCACACATCCACGGGTCCACCAGTAGAAATTAGTCCGTGACGAAATATTATCTCATATTTGTTTTGTTTGTTGCTCAATGATAATATGAAACAGAAATCGACAGTGTAGTGACAATTAGATAGGTACAAACCTCGTGTCTATTCAAATCATTATCCATAGAGTTGGAATGTATATATGGATTAATCATTAAGTGTAAGCAGTTAGAAAAACTGTAATCTTTGAACATGACATTATAATACATTGTTTTAACGGTTAACATTCGAAACTAAACTGCAACACTGCTTATTAGTGAAGAAATGTTTTCATGCGATAAAAACGTCGGCCAATTATATTCTTTGGACAAATGTACACCGTCATTATTATAGAGACTAGCGATTTCAAAGTTAACATATTTAACAAATAGTAAATTTAGGCACGAAATAACAGTAGCTAGGCATACTAGTCGTCTTTCCTACAATCGTTAGCACAAGATTCTATCCTGAAGATTAACCACACAATCTACCGAAATTTCCCCGTCGCATTTTTTTCAATACCTCCCATGTAATGAGTATTTGTTTTATTCTTGGAATTGATTTAAAGGCTAATCTAATGATAAAATATGAAATGATCGGGGTATAGAATAACTAATTTTGTTTTCTTATACGACCATCACATACGACACTATACGGAGTGGAGACTGGAAAGATGGTATCGTGAGATTTATATGGTCTGGAAATTGTTTTAAGCAAACAACGACTAATGATAAACAACGTCACCCGCTAATGGGTTCACTGGTTCCTTGAACCCTACTCACGGGGTCAAGGGAAACTAACACATAGCAATACAATGAAAATATCTTTACGTAAGTCGTTTTATACTGTCAGCTAACCACTTTGCTGTTTTATGTAGACCTGGTTGTGATATATTCATTAACTGCATAAAAATCCTTGTTGCTCTCTAGACTTCTAAATTCGCTTGCACGGTGACCCTATCGTATCCCAGAAATACAATGCAGCTAAGTCTCCATGGTTATTTCTTCAGTCCAGGTTGGCATATAATAACCACAAAATAAGTTGCAATTAACGAGATTTATAGCGAAAGAGTAAAAACGTAGTAGTATTAATGATAGTGAGGAACGTTAAAAATTAATGGGGACGGTACAAAAAGAATAGAGCAGCGATACATAAAAGGAACTATTATGTATTCAAGCTTTTTGAGAGTCACCAAGATATTATAATGTAAATAAAATTCTATATGGTAGTCCTGATTTAAGATGTTAATCCTAGTTGTTAAAATTAGTTCTCAGACAATGTACACACAACAGGTAAGAAAAATATCATTTTGACAATTGTCAACTGCTCGCAGCCAAATGTCAGTATAAACATACATTCGTGGCAGTACTATAAATTGATACTTTATAAATTACATTTAATTTACAATAATTTTAAAAAAACACCTAATTAGTCCTTCTTATTCTTATAACTTTAACGTGTAGGTTGATTAGGCAATCTACACTGAAGTGTTATTTAAATTAAATAATATGATCACTATGCTATAAATTTCATTAGTCAAGGTCCTAATCTACGAAGAAGTCTAATAACTCATGGTATTATTTACGACTTATCAGTTGAGTGGTTTAACTTCCAAACTTCATCTATGTCTTATATAACCATTTCACTTGTAAATAGTAGTTGTTAACAGCTTACATAGATATCACGGATGATATTTAAGAATACGAGTAAAAAAACAGTAAACATCGCTATGATTATAATTATATCAAACAACCTAATTATGGGTATCATTTTATTTTAGATTAATTTTTAGTAGTAATTCAACTTCGTTTTTCTTTTACAGTGATATAGAGATAGATCAAAAAAAAAGTTGGATTCATTTCAGCATCAATTCACAAATGAACTTGATCTAAAATTCCAAAACTAGAACAAAATAGTAGTTATCTAACTTTGACTAACATACAATGATAATATAATTATAGTCATCTCATAATAGTTGTTACCTTTAAATATAAAAGAAAACTTCTATAAAACGACCTAACATATAAGTCTAGACTTCTGGAAAAAATGTATATATTGATCTTAACTAGTTTTAATTATATTAATTAACGAAATCATTGTAATTTATATAATTAATAAAATAATTAATTATCATTATTTATTATGATTCTTATTAATTCTATTCATTTGTAAAGTAGATCTTTTGTTTCTATATTATGATATTTTTGTGAGGGATTATTTTTATAGTTGTCAAGATAATCCAATCAAAACCAAAAAAAAGTATTTAAAAAGAAATTTTATTCATGGTAAGCAAAGATGGACAGTGGTTAGTATTACATTTGCTTGCTCAGAGTGGTTCATATGCCAATTAGAGAATGACCAGTTGCACTCCTAAAACATCAATGGAAAGATTCAAACAAACAATACTAAGTGAATTTAAACTTCACCCCATTGCACAAGCAAGTGGCTATCAGGACTCAGTGGCCGAGTGGATAACGTGATGGCGTTTGAAGCGAAAGGTACTTGGTTCGAGTTCGAGAGTGAACGCCAACTCTGAGATGCGCAGGCACATCCGGCTGACGAGTCGCAAATAGGACGAAACGAGCGTCCTGGATTCCACTGCTAGCCACTATCCATCTTTGCTTACCATGCTTGTGAATTTAGGCTATATCGAGGCAATATGCATAGGATGCACATATGCTAATTACAGACTGACCAGTTGCACTCCTAAAACATCAATGGGAAAGGTTTACCCAGTGAGTTGGAATAATTGACATTTGAAAGAGGTTATAATACATTGGATATACGATTGGAGATAACGAATGTCGTATGAACTCAGCATGGTCATTGATTACCATGAAAAATCTTTTGAAGTTAGGGTTAAAGGCCCATTGATGCTCCCCTGAGTAAACCACCTGTGTAGGCATCTAGGAGGTGTCACACCCTACACAAAATGTCCTATCA